TTATCGCCGAAACTTTGCACTTGGTTTGAAAGTTACCTAAAGGACAGATCCATTTATGTTGCACTGGATGGCCAGAACTCCAACTCTTACCAAATAAATGCTGGTGTGCCACAGGGAGCAATCCTTTCGCCAACTCTTTTCCTGATTTACATAAATGACCTCATAGATAAAACAGTAAATCCACTTTATTGCTTTGCAGACGATGGCAATGTAGTCTCCTCACTCATACCACCCACAGGTCTTTCCGCACGTGAATTCCATCATCTTAGACTAACTCAAATATCGCAGATAAATAACGACCTGGAGATAGTAAAGGACTGGGGTAACAAAAACCTTGTACAGTTTAACGCGCAGAAAACCCAAGCAGCTCTGTTTTCAAAAAAGACCAGCACCGGTGAGCCAAACATCATGCTATCTGGAAGTGCTGTCACATTACAGAGTCAGTTGAACATCTTGGGGGTTACTGCAGAGACCAACATGTCTTGGCACAGTCACGTGGCAGATATTGCTAAAAGGGCGTCCCAAAAGCTGGGGGTGCTATTTCGTACAAGACATCTGTACACCCCAAGCCAATTGCTGACACTCTACAAAGCCCAGATTCGACCAACTATGGAGTACTGCTCACATATATGGAGTGCAGCACCCAAACATACCTTAATGCTTTTGAATACCGTGCAAAAACGAGCTATCAAGCTGATCAATGACCCCGCACTTACTCGTAACTTGGATAGTCTCGAACATCGCAGATCTGTGGGCGATTTATCTCTTTTCTACAGGTACTATCACGGAAAATGCTCTGAAGAGTTGGCACGTATGATTCCACCGAGAGTAGCACCTACCAGGCGAACCCGTCAAACAGACGGTAACCATGAATTTACTGTCAAACTAGAGGCACCAAGAACCTCATTATATCAGAATTCATACCTCTGGAGAACAGCATCGCTGTGGAATAAACTCCCCGCGACGGTTTTCCCTGCAGGTTACAACCTGAACCGTTTCAAGACCAACATACACCGACATTTCCGCGCACTTGCCGCTTCTCGACCGTGATAGGACATTTCCTTGCGAGTGCGCATATCCGTAAAAAAAAAAAAAAAAAAACCCAAATTATGAGAGTCCAGAGTTTTCAGTGCACCGAAATAAAAATACCAGCAGGTGTTCACTGTCTGCAAGATTCACATTTCAATTTATTTATTACATTTTAATTAGTCATTCTTTGGCCTTATGTTAATTTTAGGAATTTTAAGATTTTTATGTGATTTTGTGTAATTCGTATAACTATTAATGTAGATTAGTATATAAATTAGTATATTATATTATCCGCTTTGTCAGTAAAAATTTATATTTTTTGGACAATAAAGCATATTGAGTATGAGTATGAGTATGAGTACATCTAGGACTCCTACTCTTTAATATTTATGTAAATGATATTGCACCCTGTTTTCTGTTCTCATCTTTTTTGTTATTGGTGGATAATCTAAAATTTTATATGAAAATTCAAAGTCCAATAGAATTTGGACCGCCTAACTCAATGGTGAGATTTCAATGGAATGGAATTTAATACCAACAAATGTCACCTAATGATCTTCAGAGCTGAGGAAAAAGTCTTATACAATGAGTCTATAATATTAGGGACTCTCCCTTATTGTTAATCCCTCAAAGAAAAGATCTGGAGGTGTTACTTGATAGCAACTTGTTTTACATACTGCATTTATCATCAATTATGTCCGAAGCACTAGAATATTCAATCCCTGGAACTTCTCTGCTCCCTAGTAAGGCCTCATTGCACTATTGTTTGTGTGTGTGGTCTCCCTCTTATAATGTTCATGTTCTAGCTATTAAAAGAGTACAACACAAGTTCTTGAGGTATGTGGTTTTTAAAGAGCAGTATAGAGTTGAAGACGTGAAGACTTGGAAAACTCGCTTCAAATTATAGTCTGGCAAGTGGTAACTTGGTAGAGACGAAAGGGGGAAGAAAACTGGGGCGTTACCTAAAAATATTCACTGACACCTCAACTGACACCGTCTGATGACAGCCATGTCTTTGAGTTCAGTGGCACCGAAAACACCAAGAAAATAAACCAACAAAATTATTAGAAAAAAAATTCTCTAGTTTCGCCAATAACCACGCCACTGCGTGCTGTCGTTCAGGCTCTAACCAATAGAATCTTGTTTCTGAATTATCACGCCTCTCCACTTCCATGATTTCGCAATGTTGCCTGATTTTTTCCTACTCCAAATTATTACACATGTCCATACAGGGGCGGATGGGCTCAGGCGGGACACCGGGACGATTCCCGGTGGGCCGGAGAGCCAAGTGGGCCGGTTAAGGAAAAAAAAATACGATAACAAACAATACGCCGCAACTTGATAGAAAAAAATCGCTTAAGGCGTAATGCGACAACACTCTGCCAATTCAACAGAAAGCAGTCAACGTTTTTTGTCGTTTTCACAAGGCGCTGAGCTGCCATCTAATACTTGAAAATATTTTCATTAAAATTTAGACTTTTTCTGTAAATTTACCCTTTTTCTGTAAATTTATACTTTCTCTGTAAACTTATACACTTTTTCTGTTCAATCAGACATTACCGAGGACACTACCAAACTTACCTATAATAACCCGCTAAGTTCGAAATTTTTGTCAGACATAATCAAAGTTACCAATAATAACCCGGTTAGTTTTTGTTAGTTTGCAATTATTGTAATGTAATCAGACATTACCGATAATAACCCGGTTAGTTTGCAATTTCAATAAGATATTTTCAAACTTACTAATACTAACCCGGTTAGTTTGGGTTAGTTTGCAATTGTAATCAAACATTAAAACTTACTGATGATAATCCGGGTTAGTTTGCAGTTTCAATCAGAAATTACCAAACTTACCGATAATAACCCGGTTAGTTTGGGTAAGTTTGCAATTTCAATCGAACATAACCATTTTGTTTTCAAAATTTGTGTTAGTTTGAAATCTATTGTAATCAAACATTACCAAACTCAAACCTACCGAGAATAACCCGGTTAGTTTGGGTTAGTTTTCAATTTTAATCAGAAATTTTTAAACTTACCGATGTTCCTGGTTAGTTTGGGGTTTAGTTTGCTATTTCAATCAGACATTACCAATAATAACCCGGTTAGTTTGGACATGCTTCAAAATTATTCATTTTCGAAAGAAGTTATTCAAAGTCAATATGTTCCAAATGGTTGATTTTTGAAATGAAAGCATTCGGAAAAAAAAATGGCAATTTTTGTTTTCGAAATTGAATAAAATTGCGAACTAACCCAAATTGCGGTACTTAAATTTGGTAATGTCTGATTAAACAGAAAAAGTGTAAACTAGAACATGAAAATATTTTACAATAGGTACCTATCAGCATGGCTCTACACTTTCGTATTTTTGAGTAATATAAGGAGGTTTTTTTTTTTCTAAAAAAGGAGACTATTTAATATCCTATCCAGTGTTATTCACCTCCTGTGAGTGCGCGGTGCCGCTTGAGCAAAAACCGTCCCGGGCGCATGGAGGTAAGTAACACCCATTTGGCTCACGTTCGCAAATTTTAATGTAACACCCGATATCGCAACGGAGAGTTTCTTTATCGGGTGTTACTTACCCTGGACAGATTTGCATTCACATAATGTTTAACAGTAATGCCTTTATTAGATAGGTACATAGTATAGATATAATATTATTATTTTTTTATGTTTCAAACTTTCTGTATTTTATTAATTTGCTCGTTAATTCTTGCTTATAGGCCCTACTTTTTATATTTCCATTTGGTATGATGTACACATGTAGGCCCAAATAAGAGAAAGAAAAATAAAAAAATTCAGTACAATGTAATTCGAAAGTATCTGTTCCTTGTTGACCTGGTATGAATGTCACCAAGCCTCACCGGAGAGATATTCTAAGTTCTAAATAATAATTTGTATCAAAACAGCAAAATGTAAAAAATCTTCTTCGTTTCATCTTGAGCATTTCACTGTTGTAATGTAGGGAGTATCATGTTCTCGTCTATTTATGTTCAATCTGTGGTTCAGTATATACCTATCTTACACAATTATTCTGAATCTTTTGTAGTCTATATCTACACACAATGGGAAATTGGTCAGCAACAAAAAAATACAGCTCAAAAACAAAATTCCGGTTTTTTGAGCCCACCCTTTATATTAATAAATTCCTTGTTATTTCACAAAAAAATAAAAAAGGTCATATACAGTGTGTTATTTAAAAATGTGAAACGTGGCCTTCTTTTTGGAATTTTCGATGTTCCACAACTATACAAATAGTGAAAAAGACGTTCTCCTAAATTAAAATTTGTGTTCGAGGTTTTTCGAGAAATCTCTTTTATTGTTTTTATCTGCTAAATTACGAACGCACAGTATAATTTAGAATAATATGACAATAATAATTATATTTTGCACTTATATACCCATGTTTTAAAATTTCAATGCCCTAAAATAATTATTTACAAGATGGTAATAGTAAATAGGCTTATCTAATACCAAGGGTAAGTAACACCCGATAAAGCGCACATCCATGCAACCACGGGTGTTACATTTAAAAAACCGAACCGTTGTCGAACGGATTGCCGAATGCTAAACAGGGTGTTACTTACCTCTATGCGCCCCGGGCCGATTCAAAGTTGCCCATCCGCCCCTGTGTCCATATAGCAAAAAAAAAAAAATGACACCAACTTGTTTATTATTTTGTTTCTAATTTCCGTCAAGTTTGGCAAAGCAGCAAATTCTTTTGCAGTTCGCCGTTTCGCTAGCCAGACAATACATACCTACACTATTTCCAAATTCAAGCGGCAGTAAATGACAAACTGGTAATTTTCATTACAACCTATCAAATGTCCTCCGTGCATGCGCACCGGTCCAGGTAGACGGTAGAGCATTTCAACCAATAGGAAGACTGGTGTTTGTTTACAATTTAGATTATTAAATGTCATTTACTGCCGCTTGGATTTGGAAATGGTGTAGATAAGATATTATCTACTTACTTTGTACAATATAAGGCATCGGCATTCCATGGTAAAAATTCGGCGGAAAAGTGAACCTCTGCCTTTCAAAATGCGTGATGTCGCTAGCGGGAGTCGGCGATCGACTACTTTTAGCTGTTCCCGGGGTGGGCCCTCTTTCTGCGCTCATCTGTCGGAAGAGTCGCGGCGCCGCCGCCACGGGATACCCTGGTTGATTGAACACAAATTGCGGCGTGGGCGGAGTGCTCGGAGGCGGCGTACGATATTGCGCACCGCCGGCGCAACTACCGGGACAGTAGCCGGGCGCCACCACCGTGGCGGCAGGTGAGTTTGTACCGGTACTACTTTGACTAGAACCCACTAGAAATGGCCTTGGTTTGTTGGTGTTGAAACTGGGCGGCTGTTTTGTTAGCGAACCACGTCTTGGATCGAATGGTTGCATACCTGGAAGAGTTATTGTTAAAAGTCAAATGTCTAGTTAGAATTTTTCTTGTATTTGTGGGTTTAATGGGTATAATTTCGGCTATAGTAACACTGTGAAAAATATTTCACAATTTTTCAAAAATTTAAATTTTCTTACATTTTGGATTGACCGGAACAAATCCTCTAGGAGTACTGGCCTGGGTTGGTGCCAAAGTCATCTGTTGCATGTTGTGCGTTAACTGAACAAAGCCACTGTTTGTTTCAAATGGCGAGGGAGGCATCGAGCCGCCACTAGTTGGAGTTGGTGTACTTTGCGGGTAACCGGGAATAGTTTGAGTTGGATAAGCTAAAAACAAAAACGATGAATTAGATATTTTTTTTCTATAACAGTCCAGTGAAAACTGAACTTATTTCCAATTTACATTATAATTACAGCATTTAATATATTCGGAATGAATTTGTGATGGCATAAACAAGTTACTTGAAAATATTTACCTGTTGTTTGATAAAGTGCAGGACTAGGTGTATATACTAACGACGGCTGATTTTGATAGATGACGCCATGAGGCTGATTCTGCGGATAAACCATCTGATTCGGATACACCGGAACAATTTCCGGATTTTGACTTTGCGGCTGGTGAGCTGTCATGTAATTAACGCCAGTCGGATATCCGGCAGTGACGAAAGCTGTTTGTCCTTGCGTAGGCAATTGCAACGATAACCTTTGCGGTGGTGTCTGACTAGGAGGTTGCGATGCGTTCGGATAAAAATTGATCGGTGGCTGGTTCCAAAAAGCCGCGCTAGGCGGCGCTGCTGTTTGATAAGTTAACTGTTGTGCTGTTGGCGGACCTGCGCCTTCAGGTACGAAGTAGGTTGTACTAATTTCGGTAAGATTTGACTGGTCCTAAATGAAATCGTTAATAATACATTAATGTTGAGTATTTTAAACAAACATCACTAGGAGGGACATATAAAAAATGAAATAAATGAAAAATATTTTCTTACCAGTCTTCCATCATAAGGTTGCTGAACCGGAACACTATAGGGGGCGGCAGTGTAGACGATATAAGGTTGGGAATAAACGGGAACGTTTCCCTCGGCAGGCTGGTTAGAAAAGTTGGCAAAATGCGGTTGTTGTGGAATATTTGGGACGTTTTCGCATGAATTAACCACCTGCAAAAAATATATATTTAAAGATCGGATGATAATTTTGGAACCCTTTGTTCATTTAGATAAGTAGCTAAAGCTTATTTCTATATTTCTTACAGAAATAACTTATCAGGTAAAAAGGGCCTCATGTAATATTTTTTTTAAATGAATTTATTTCAGTCGAGTTCTTGGTCAGCTCGTATAGCAAGGCTGCTTTTTCCAGGGTGTGCGTATGCAGGAAATGCGGAGAGACCAGTTTTGATCATCTGCGCAAATTGTCGAACAAAGTGCCTATCAGATTGAGCTCTCATGTTCGTTTCACCAATAATTTTCAATTTATTTTATAAATAGGTTTGCCTTAACAGTGTACCTACCTGTAAATATGGATAATTCCGATTTATGGGAATCCCCACAGGCGAAGAAGTCGACAAAGGCGGCGAAAACGGCAAACTAGGACTAGTTGCACTATTCGTGAAACTAGCGCTATGTATAAAATTCGATTTTGATTTGCACGGTGAAATACGATGCTTCAAAGGCGACTTCTTCTAAAAATAAGTTTATGGAAGTTTAAACAATTTTAACACTAAATAATTTTACCTCATGTTTTGGTGACGATACTAGCGTTTTCTCTTTCGGCAGTGGAGTTGGTGGTCTCTCCACTTTTTCAACTGGTCGAGGAGGAGGCTCCAGTGGCAACAAACCTGGTGCAGGCTTACTTGGATCGAAATAATATATCGTACCGTCCTCGTTTTTATAAGGTTTACCAGTCTAATAATATAAAACCTAAGTAAACAAAAAAAAAACAAAATTGAAGCTTACTTCAGGATTAATAATCACACTCCCTTTTGGAACATTGCTAAGATCAGTCACAGCCCATACAACAGGGTTCGTACTTTTGTGGCCAGCGAAATCGCCCTTGTCGCCTTGTTCCGCTGGCAAATGCGGCGTCGACGTGGGACTCGGAGTTACCGATTCGGATATTTGAGATTGGGACTTGTAACCTGAACTGGAGGGACTCAGACGCCACGACACCGAACTAGCTCCAGAATCTGTCATATGAAAGAAATTTTGTATTAATAGAATCTTATTTTGAGTGTAAATTATTGTATACCTTGTTTCGTAAAGAGCCTAGGACCTGGTGCGCTATGTGTCGACATAACACTGTCTCCTCGAGACAGTACGGCAACATTGCCCCCATATCCTCCAAAACTGTAACTTTTAGCCACACACGGTCGCATCGATTGTTCGGTTTCTTCAGAATGGACCTAGGAAACAATTTTTTTTTCAAAACATTATATCATAGCAATTATGCAACTAATAATAATTATTAATAATATGTATGAGAATTATTCAATGTGTGTCAGTGACAAAATAGCATCGTTGTCAATGTCGCACCTGCCTTTTGCGTTTACAAATAACGATTTGTTAAAACTAAAACTATATACAAACAATTACCTTCAATAATCTCCTCAAATGTCTATTCTGAAACTCAGGAGGCTGCAACCGATACCTCGCATAATCACTATCCGTGCTCGACCATTGCACGTCGGACCAACCAAAATCCTCAGAAGAATCGTGCAATTCTCCTCTAAATATCCTCCTTCTTGCTCGTTCGTATTCCTCCTCTCTCTCCTCGAAGCTCTTACTCCTACGACCCTCCATACTATTATACCCCCGATCGGGACTTTTGAAACAATAATCTTCTATGCTGCTGGAATCTCGTTTCAAAATTGACCGTCTGGGCGGTTCGTCGTTGAATATTTCTTTGATGTGTTCCTTGAATCTAATGTCCGGCAATCTAGTGCTTTTCGTTTTATTAACTACAATTGATTTTCCAGATTGGTCTATGTTGTGGTCCATCCCAAAATAAGCCGCACATCGATGGACCAGCATGCGATGGTAGCTAGTCATGGGTGGAAACTTGTAGTGGGTTTGACTGGAAATAAATAATAACCGCATTACTAAATATTTCAAGGATCATCGGGCTAATAAATATTAGGTACTTAGAGGGAAAATGTTCAATGATAAAGTCACGATAGAATAATTGTGCATGTTTTTGTGGTATTGATAGGTACAGTTTGTTTTTCTAAAGCATTAAAATAAATATAGAGACTGTTATGTTCTAGATGTCAAACACATCAAAAGCTTCGTTGGAAATTGTTTTCAAAAAGTACTGTTGTCAACTTTAGATGCTTTTAAAGCTTTTAGAATGTGTGAAGCCACTGGTGAATATAACTGATCGCAATCAAAAGAATCTCTCTAAGTGAGATCGTTGACTTTTGTTATGGAAAATTTTACACGTGTTTTAACTGTGCCTCCAAAAACGGTGTGACGTCATAGCCTAGGCGTTCGTCACTTTCAACGCGCCACAAAAAGCGTACCGAAGTGTAGACAGAAAAATGAGAGACTGGGGCCTTATTCTGGAGCCTTATTCTGTAAGAACGAACCGTTCGATTCGGTAGAATTTCTTCGATTCAGACGTCATTTTCGGTTTGGTAGCGCGGAAGCTATTCGTTTCCAAACGAAAATGACGTCACAATCGAAGAAATTCTACCGAATCGAACGGTTCGTTCTTTACAGAATAATGCCCCAGGGAAGAAAGTTATCCACCATTGTTCATTATTCAATTTTTATTTTGTATTAAACTGATTGTTCAATCAAGTTTATGATTAGTTTTAACATAAGGAGCATTTACAGGTCAGTTGAATAAATTTTTTTTTTTTTCAGAGTTTAATTTATACAAGTTTTATTTTTTTCATTTTTATGTTTCTTTGATTGTTTATAACATTTACTATAACATGTGCATTGTTCATGTATTTCACAAAAATCGTTTCATGCTGTAAACAACGCAGATAAAAAGTAAATTAAAACCTAGAAGAAATTATGTGCTGTCTGAGGCCTTGTTGAATCTACTAACACTTTCCTACCCTGAGTGGGCGAATATAGTAGCAAACGAATTCAAAAAATCATTCAAGAGATATTGGCTGAAAAATGAGAGTAGCCTCCCGAACGGGACCTCAGTACCTGCTGGTGAGACTGGCTAACTAACCAGTAACTCTTCAGTATTGAATGTAGTATATGGAATTACAAATTTCAGCACAAGGTCGGTATCTAATTTAAACTATCTTTGAATTAAAATTACATATTATTAAAATGACACAGTATGTTTTGATTTTTGAGGAATGGAGATCGAGGGTTTCTCTGCTGTGCTCTTTCCCCTCGTGAGTTCAAGGTTGAGAACGGTACGATTTTCTTTAATAATAAATTAGACTTTTTGCAAATTTTTCGTTTATTTTACATATCACAACTTTTCTTAAATATCCCTAATTTTGTTATTGTCGTGCGCATGTCAAGTAAGTAAAATTGAGTTTCGATAACGTAGGTCCTATTTGTTTTCCATTTTATTTTTCAAAAGATTTGTTAAAAGAAGAGATAATAAAAATTCGAACCGTCCAATCTTGCTAAACAAACCCGGATATGTTATACTACATTTCTAAAACCGGTATTACCGTCTCAACACTCTGTGGCATTTCCAGTAACAAACTGCTGCATATACTGTGGTCTTTAATTATTATCTTATGGTATTTTTTAAATAACTTCTAGATTTTCCATTTCCCTCAATTTAATAGACATTAAATTTTCATCGTAACATAAGTTGCCCTGGAATACCTTTGCTTGCATATCGGTTCACTTAATGGCCTGTTTCTTTGTCAATTGTCTCTCATTTTATCTAGATTTGTATTATCTAAACATTGTACAACATAATATGATTCACATATCTGATTTTGTTTTTTGGCTTCCAGCAATTTGTTTACTTCAGTATAATATGCAGCTTTAAATTGTTTTTCTATTGATTATTTCTGGGCCCATAACCTGTTGTTTGTATTCACTTAGTGCCGGTACTTTTGTTCTCATTTGACAGCCGTTAAAAATAGTCAGGGGTTAGAATGTGCTCTAACCACATCATACTTATAGACCTCGGCCCATGCAAAATTTTGACAACGTATCAAATTCGTTAATCAAGAGCAAAAGTATCGGCCCTTAATCTATCTAAATGATAGGTACTGTTTTCCACTAAAAGGTTCATTTACAAAAATCAAGTTCTAACACTGATAGCGCCATCTAACAATATTACTAACCTAAAGTAAACGGCAAACAATTTCCGATGCACGATGCACGTCATCAATCGCCTGATAGATGACATTCAAGTCAAGCCGAAAAAATGTTAAAAAATCGACCTGCTCATAGTGATTTTCGTATCTCAACCGATGCATAATTGGATGAAGCAACTCCTCAAAATAGAATATTCTGCACTTACTTCTGATAATCTTGAAGTTTTTGTTGAGGAAATATATAAAAAAGAAAACTATCCAAATAAAAACATGGAATTTATCCGCACTACGTCAGAACTGGAATTTTGACAGTGTTGCCACTCATTGGCACAATGTCAACACTCAAAATTTGCGCAAAAACTATGCGCAAAAATACCAAGAAAAATAGTTATAGTTATTAACGTTATACAGTGTGCGCCATAAAGTTGGGTACATATGGGAAAATTCTTAGTTATTCCTTTTTTCAAATATTTTTTTTTTTGGGATCGTTAGGGCATGTTCGATAACCAAAAAATCGATTATGACACATGTCATGCGATTATCGGTTTAGCGGGAATTTTGAAAAAAGTTGATATTGATGTCGAAAAACGGGTAAATTTGGCAAGATATCAAAAAATTTTATAAGAAAAAGTTGTTCAGAATCCAAAAAGAGCTCCACCTGCCAATTTTGAAGCAAATCAGAGAAAAAATAAATAAATCTACTCATTTTACCCATACCATTAAATGGAAAATCGAAAATATTAATTTTATTTCAAAAATAGTTTTATTGAACTTAAACTACATAGGTACGATATCAAACGAATTGATTGTTTTGCGAAATACACATTAATTAGAAAAGAAAATACCGCCCGGTCGTGTCGCTATAACTGTACCCATGTCCCTTTTTGCACATTTTCTGGTCATCAGTAAAATAACATGGCATGTGTCATAATCGATTTTTTGGTTATCGAACATGCCCTAACGATCCCAAAAAAAAGTTTTTTGAAAAAATGAATAATTAAACGTTTCCCATATGTACCCAACTTTATGGCGCACACTGTAAGATAAGTAGCAAATAATCAGTCAGGGCTGTTATTTGCAGTTATCGGCCGTGTTTCTTTCTAGATTTTTCGTTATACTGTAGATATTTTTCAATCTGACAACAAAAAAAAAACACTCTACCGGCTGGTGGCCGTTAATTTAACGGCTAGCGACCTGTTATTTATATTTAACCGGTTGGCGGATAAATAACGGCCGGCGGCCCGTTAAATATACCTTTTCGATTTCAATTTTGCTCATGTTATATTTAGATAACAGTACAGTATCACGAAAAATTAATTATGGATTAAGAAGTTTATAATATTAACTTGAGAGCCATGGTCCAATGTCCAATCAAAACTCCAGTGGCCACCGGAACGGCTGCTTGTGCTTTGTCGATGGAGTCTTCTCAAATTTGATTGGTAGAAGATGCTTATACCACTTAAACGTCATCGTTTGTTGCATTTTAAAAAGATTAAATTTTCCCAATTGCCTGTAGAAAACTCATTTAAGCTCCTTACCTTGGTTTGTACCAACCATTTCAAGAGAGGTTTAACGATAATCAACGCTTAAAGTGACATTTTTACATGTTAAAATGTCACTTTGTGGTTACGTTTTGAAATACGCAAGTTTAGATTTTGTTTGATTGGTTCATTTTACGGTACGGTGTTCAAGTTTTCTTTATCATAACTCAAGTAACCAAAAAAATTGCAACATTAGTTTTTTCTGAAGTTTTACTTCCTCCCATAACAATCTGACAACGCTGCCCCCGTTCTACGTTCTACGTTCTACTTCACTCAAAGTCTATGACGTGCATCGTGCATTGGGAATAGTTTCGTACAACTACGTTCTAGAAAGTATTATTATCATATATTATGATGTATGTTTAATACTACAAGAGAAAAAAAATTGTTGGCAAAATTTTCGACTGGTATGAAAGTTTGTTGCTTGGCAATTTTCGCGAGTGACATTTTTGACAAAACCACCAGGTAGAAGCAAGCAGGAGTTTTGTCAAGGAAACAGGCCATTCCGTTCCTATGACATTTTGCCAGTGTAACACTCTAGTGAAATAAAGCACAATAAGAATTTCAAAATTTCATTGGGTAAATTCAGGCGGTGCCAGCGGCTAAGTTCAGCCACTCAGCAGTGACTTTATTCTCGAAACAGGAAGCAGCATTCTCATGAGAGCGAAGGTTCTGTCTTCGTCGTCCGTATTCATATTTCAATAACACTAACACTGACAATAACAGAGCAATCGTTCTCATGAGAACGCTTTCCTCGGTTTCGAGAACAAAGTTCCAGCTGAGTAGCTGAGCCGCTGGCACCACCTGAATGTACTCAATGACAAAATTAGATACTAGCTGACGTCACACATATAACCTCAATGACATGTTTGTCCCCCTATCGAAAGTGATGTAATGTTATTGTGACAAGCTATCGCTGTGTGTATATAAATCGAAATATCATTGGTATAAATAAATATTAGGCGGCATTCCGTATCTTAACCAGAGTAACCGATCGGTAAGAAGTGGTTCGTCTATGGTAACAGCCTGGTTCCTGAAAATGCGGTTTATGTGTGGAAACCTTCGGTTCAGCTTTGGTTGGGCTCGGATGCTAGAATATTATCCTCTTAAAAATATATTTGTAATAAGCAATGGTCAGGAATGAATGCAGTATTTACCTCTTGTTCCATTTTCACCGCAAATACACGTTGAAAGAAGAAGAAAAATAAATAAAATAACAAATTATCACCTAACCTAACAAACAAACGTCAGAAACTGAAAACAAACGAAACAAACCGAAAAAA